AGAGAAGAGGGGAGGGGAGGGGAGGGGAGGGGGGATAGTAGAGGATAGGAAAGGCAGCAGAATACAACAGACACTAGTATGGCAATATGTAAATCAATGGAAGTGTAACCAATGTGATTCTGCAATATGTATACCGGGTAAAAATGGAAGTTCATAACCCACTGGAATCAAAGTGTGAAATATGATGTCAAGAACCATGTAATGTTTTGAACAACCAACAATAAAAAAAAAATGAGACAAAAGGCAAAGAAAAGCAGAAACTAGAATAAGATTATTGACTGTAGAGTAGATAATAGGTATAAGTCAAGAATACTTCTTAAAAATAACTAGCTATGGTGACTCATGCCTGTATTCCCAGTGGCTCATGCCTTGGAAGGCCGAGACAGAAGGATCATGAGTTCAAAGTGAGCCTCAGCAATGGCAAGGTGCTAAGCAACGCAGTGAGACCCTGTCTCTAAATAAAATACAAAATAGGGCTGGGGATGTGGCTCAGTAGTCGAGTGCCCCTGAGTTCAATCCCTATTACCACCCCCTCAAAAAAAAAAAAAAAACACTAAATTTCAAGGTTAAACAAGAAGTGTGAGACTCTGGGTTTGATCTCCACAACTACAAAAGGAAAGAAAAAAAAGTTTAAGCAAGAAAAAAGTGAGATTACGGTATTATAAAGTATAACCACTAACACAAAATTTTGATCTAACATAAATACCAAAAAGAAAAAGAAAAAAAGAAAAAAAGATATCTATAACAAAGTACAAAAAACAATAATGATTTAACAGTAATTATAACAAAAATAATGATAGAATTCAAGTCTAAATATATAAATCAATATCAATACAAGTGAAAAAAACTTAATTCTCCTTCAAAAACAACTTTTTTAAAAAAGAAAAAGCAAAACCCAAAGATATATTTTATACAAAAAACAATGAAGCACAAAATTTCAGTATTTCAAAGAACAAAGTTAAATTTAAAGGGCAAGTAAATAAAAATAATGAGTCAGTGGTTGCAGTCCTCCTAATATCAGAAAAAAAAAATAGAATTAAGGCCAAAATGTTTCAAGTAAAACAGAGAATTGTGATTTATATTGTGAAAAGCTGCAATTCATAATAAAGCTTCAACAATTATGATTACCTGTGTCCCATGTAATAAAGCAAAACTACAGAGAGAGAAAAATTTGAAAACAATACTAACAGGGTATTATTACATACTACTTTCATTATAAGACAGGCTAAGTGAATTTAAGAAAATAGGCAAGAATAAAAAAATCTAAATAATCAGATTTAAGGGTACAAAATAAGATAACAGAAATTATACCTTCTGAACAAATGGAAGCATTATCAAAAACGTATTTGGGCACAAAAATATATCAGTGAACTTTATAAAGTAGAAATATTACTAATTAATTATGAGACAATATAAATTGAAACTAAAATAAAATTCCAAAATAAAAAGGCATTTTTAATGTAAATTAGAAAATGTTCCAGTAAGTAAATATTCAAACCAATAAAAAAATTGAGAAAACTGTGTGAATTTTAAATTAAAGAAAAAACTAGCTAAAAACAACAACAATAAATGAAGTACTGCTAAGAAAATGATAAATTGCAATAGAGTACCAAAAAACCCATACTGCATTTTACTGGTAGATTAAAATCCTACTTGCGGGGAAGAGCAAAATAGGGAAACCACTAATTAGTCTAATTAGGAAAAAAGTACAAATATACAAAATAACAATTATATAATACAGGAAAACATAAAAATAAAGGGAATGTAGTGATGCAACATGGTAAAATTATTGAGAGTTCACTGTTCAACAAAAATTTAAAATATACAAAATATTTTAATTTCTTAAAAAATACAATATGCCAAAAATGACATACATTATTTTATAAGAAAAGCTTAAACAAATTATTTTCCCCAAAAGAAAAAGAAAATTGGTAAGAGTCTATGATATACAAATCCACCAGACACTAGAACAAGGCAAGAATGCTATTGTTGCCTTGCAATTTGGTACTGTACTGGTGTTAGGGTAAAAAATAGTCATATAAAATGAAAAATGAAAGGTGAAACTTTTTGCTGATAATATAGTAGCATATCTAAAAGCCCCTAGAAAACCAATAGAAAACTAACTCAACCAAAAGCAACCTGGCAATTTTGTAAAATAAAAAAAATTATTATGCAAAAATAGTTCCCAAGAACAGAAATAAAAACATTTAGAATATATAATGGAAGGGGAAAAACCTCATTTACAGTAAACAGAAAAAAAGTTAAAATGCTGGTAAGCTTAGTAAGAAACTATATAAGAGAATTATTTAAAACTAAAATTCACAAAGAATACAAAAGTATGCTTGAACAAATAACCAGACATTTATTGCTCTTAATCAGAACATCGTCTCATAAAGATGAAATTATTTAAGTTAATTTATAAATTCTATGTAATCACAACAAAAATATCAGTAGGCTGGAATTTGAGAACTTGGAAATAAGTTGGTACATAAAATCAACATTTATGGGAACCATAAAATTGAACTGACTGGGGCACCAGGAAAGCCAAAGAATTTGATTCACAACAAAAATTAGTACTTACCACAGATTCTCTATAATGAAAACAGTGTGGGGCTGAGACATGATAAGACAGACCAGTGAAATGAAATATAAAATTCAGAAATAAACATAATTACAAATAGAAACATATGACAAAGTTCATATTTTAAACTAACAGAGCAAAGATGATGTTGTGTCAACTAGAGAGCTATTAAATGAAACAAGATAAATTAGACTGATATTATTCAATACTAGGAATCAGGGATCCCTGGAAAAATACGGCTTTTTAAGATTAATGCAAAGAATGTACAACATAATTCTGGAACCTCTTAAAATAGAAAGTTGGTGAGTACTAGAACCAGCATATGGACATGTCAGAAAGGACAGGGAGACCAACTTGATGATTTTCCTACTGAACAAACCTGGAACATTTGAACATAAAAATAATTAAGAATAGCAATAAATTATGAACCATTGAGTAAAAAAAAATGTGTGTCCTCAAGTAAAGAGGAAGAGGTAAAACTGGAAAAACCACCATCAACTATTATAACAATATTGGTTCAGGCAAGAATTATCAATGAATGCTAAATTTAAGTGTAAATGTTGATGAGGATACCACAGAAAACGATGTGTTTTTCAGGATATCACACCCACGGTACACAAGATCCATCTTCCCATCTTTGATGACATTAATTTTGACTACCATGGTGAAGATGATTTCCTGGATCTCCATGGTCTTATTATCCCCATTGAACTAATAAACATCATCTATAGAATTATGTTTTACTATGAGTGTTGAGTAAGTCAAAGAAAATAAGTGAATAATTCACAAAGTAACAAAGGAAGAAATACTCAATAGTTTCAACATGTTCCATGTCACATAAGCTCCATATGAAGGGTAAGGCTTAGAATCCAGATAGAAATAAGAAAACTGAGGAAATCAGGGATCTTACACTTTCAGCTGATAGTTGTTGTTCCGATTTCAGCAGGAGGACACTTTTATCCACAGCGCGGAGGGCGCAGAATGAGTCAGGAGCTGCTTGAAGATTGAGACTGGCATTAGAGCCAGGAAGCCCCTGCTCCTTATGGAACTTTATGCTAACCTGAAGAGAAAGAAAAGGAATAGAGATGATTTCTATGAGGAAAATTTGAATAAATTTAATAGTTTCTAAAGAAATCCTTATAGATTCTGTACATATATTCCTCCAGCCCATGTTCACCCTCAACTCTCCTTAAAGGGACATCTCCTTTACCACCCTCCTCTCATCTCGGGATTGGCACTACTGTCAAGGATAATTCTTTCCCTTTGGCAATTCTCTGATTCCCTAATAAGTTAAATGATACCCCTACTTATTGTGAGATTACCACGTAAAGATCAGAGTGGTCCATTAAGGAGGTAGCAAGAAGCAAACTGCTTACTCTTCTTACTCTGGACAGGTCAGACATAGAAGAAAAATCACCTTGTTTTTAAAACATTTCTCAATCTGGAACTTGACACTGTCAGCCACGATTTCTCCACTGGGGTGAAGGGTGTAGACAAAGAGGACAGCCACAGGAGCCAGATCAGCACTGATGCTGATGGGGAATGAGAAGTTCCCATTCCAGGCTGGGTAAACAGGAGATCAACAGATAATGCCAAAAATTTCTTGCATCACTGGGTATGCTTAGATAAAAGAGACTTATGGATATAAAGCACAAATTAGGCTTTGTTTTAAAGGCAAGCAAATCAAATAATGCCAACTACATATGAAAAATAAGATTGGGTAATGTCGGTAATTAGAATACTTTGGTTTTGGAAATCCCTTTTCTGTAATGTACTCGATGATGTGGGAATAGTAGAAAGAGGTCAAACTGTCATTTATCCAATTATTTAGTAGCTTCTTTTAAGCCATCCTATTTGTACTCTGTCCTCGAATTGAAATAAGTGCTCTTATTTCAATTCAACTTCTAGACTCTCTAATAATATTTCCTCAAAGAGAAAAAAGGTAAAGTACATATTTATAAATGGTTGCATTATATACACCTTTGTTTTTGATTTCCTTTTGTCCACTGAGAAAGATAGCTCCTTTCACCATCATCTGTGCAGGACAAAGAAAACACACTATGAGATCTATTGCCTAATATCATATCATATTGTCATTATATAATGAATTATCTCATGATAATTCTGTTACATCAGATACGGAAGCTTCCACAAATTAAAAGTGAACTTGGCACATTTGAAGAAGAACGGAAAGTAACCACAATGGATTGGGAGCCTATCATGGACTAGAAACTCTGTGAACAATGTGAAATGCACTGTAGGAGGAGGAGAATTTTATCCAGACTTTCTGGCTCTGAATATGCCTTTATCTAATCTCCATCAACTATTTGATTTAAGACACATCATTCTATCTCTTTGCCTCTGTTCCATTAGCTGTAAAAATGAGACTTCCGTAAGGCTGATGAAGCTAGCCAACACATACAAGGGCAGTGCCTGACATGGAATCCTCACCCTAGGAGGAAAAACTTATCATTTCTAATTTTATATATACATCTGAGGAAACCAAGGCTTAAGGAGTTTAAAGAACCTGTCCAAGATGAACTAACTTGTCTGATTAAGAGGAGAGGGTGGGGGCTGTATGTGGTGGTGACTCAGGAGGCTGAGGCAGGGGATCATAACTTCAAGGCCAGCTTCAGAAAAATTGCAAGGCCACAGGCACCTTAGTGAGACCCTGTCTTAAAAAAAAATTAAAATGCTGGGGATGGAGCTCACTGGTAGAGTGACTCTGGTTCAGTCCCTAGTACCCACCCACACCTGCAAAAATACAAGCAAAAGAAGAAGACAATGACAACAACAAAAAAAACAAGAAGCAACAAGAGGGTGGAATGCCTTAATTTCCAAGTCTCTCTATCACTCTGCAATCTGCCTTGAAGACACAAAATGGATAGACACAGGCCCACTACTTCCTTACTACTTTCTTTACTGCTTATCAAAGTGAATTTTCCATTGTATTTTTTTGCATTTGCCTAACATTCAACTATTACAAAGCGTTCTAAACATCTGATATGAATTAATAATTGAATGCCTAAAAAAGCAGATTCTGAATAATAAGTTTTTCAATCTTAGGGAAACAAATAATCTGAGAGCATATTATCTGTTTGTTTCTAATGGATCCTGTAGCATTTGCCAGCAAAGTGAGAGGATGGAACTCATTCAGATTGGCATGGCACAACTAATGCACACTGTCTGAACTGTCCTGTGCTCAGAAGATTCATAATTAGGCAGGATTCCAAGAATACACTGAGACTTACTAAATAGTAGAAGTTGACATGTGAATCATCCTTATATGCATCAGGATTTAAGGAGTAATAAATGGTAATAATCTTCTGTTGGTTACATCTAAGCTGCTTCGGTTCAGGAGCAATCTTCAGGAAGCTGCTGGTTCGTGAATAAAAGCGTGAGACTCTGAAGTAGGCATCCGAATATTCAGGTGTCAACCAGCTGTTAGGATAGCAGCTCTTAGGTTGAACATATGAAGCCTGACATGAGAAAAGAAAGAGAAGGATCTTAGAGAGGCAAAGACTTCCAAAGACAGTAACAGAAGACATGTCTTCCAAGCGGGGGGGAAACTTAGCTTGGGGCTGACATTTCATTGTGGAGTTATTGGAAGCGAAATAATAATAGCTTTGTCTTTTATATATTAAAAATTACCATAATTGCATAAACATTTTACTAGACTACCAATAAATTGTTTCTTACTTTTGACTGAAAGAGAATTAAATGTAATCTCTGTTTCCTGAAGCTACATTTGAAGACTGACAAATTGTTTAACTGCAAAATTCCATTTAAGCAGCAGAAAAGAGAAATCAGAGTATTTCCCTTATTTATGTATGAAATGATCTGAGGGAAAAAAAAAAGCCAAATTTTCTTCATGAGCTATTTCTAACTCCTCAGAGTAAAATACTGATTGTTATAGAACTTATAATGATTGTATGGTAGTATCATTAGCTTCTCATCATCTTGAGCAAATCTCACACATTATTTAACCAACAAGCAAATAACAAAACATATGTTGTCTTTTAAGAGACAGTGGAATGAATGTGACATGGTTTTCACATGTACATATATGAAAACATCACAGTGAATCCCACACATTCATAAGAGTGAGATTCTAACTAGAATAAGATATATTCTATACTTGAATAATTATATCAAAATGGATTCTGCTGTCATGTAACAAACAATAAACAATAATTTTTTAAAAAGACCCTCAGAGAGAGGATCTGTAAAAGAGAAAGAAAGAGGGAGAGTGAGAGAGAGGGAGAGAGAGAGAGAGAGAGAGAGAGAGAGAGAGAGAGAGAGAGAAAGAGAGATTCCTAATGTTCAAAATTACTAACATTCGAATATGATGTGGGATACCTACCAGTCTTCATCCGTTCTTTGATGTCTTACCTTCAGATTGAACTCTGGATCAAATATGTCTGAAGTATCGATGGAAAACTGAGCTTCACCATCCTCATCTGTAGTGTAATTTCCTATAAATTTATCATTGAGCTCCAATTGCAATAACTTGCTCGCCAAAGGTACATTGTTAGGACCATAAAATTTAAGCTGTACAAAAAAAAATGTTAATACTCTTTGAATACAAAATGTCATATTCCTACAGAGAAATAATTTTCTGTCCTTAACTTTGATCACACAATAGAAATTTTCTTAAATTCTAATGAACAGAAAGATGTTTCATTAAGTATTTATGTGTTTATATATAAAATATGGAAACAGCTAAGATTGTGTTCATTACTTTTAGCCTAGGACTTTTTCAGTAAATCAGACATAGTAATACTGAAAATGTATTATGAAAGTAGAAAAAAAGTATCCAGAAATTTTCAAAGGATAATCAGTGATCTAATAAAATGAAATGGGACCTGCATTTTTTAAAGTTAAACCTACAGTTCCAAAATAAGAAATTCCTCTTCTATAGAAAGGGTCCATATTCTCAAAGTTGACTCTGCCAAGCAATGGAGTGATAAAAATGGAGGTCTTTTCACTGATCTGTACACCTGTAAGAAATGAGGAAACACAGTGTCAAGAAAGAATTAACTATTCCACCAAATATTTCAGAGCTGGGGATATAACTCCATGGTGGAGCATTTGCCTAACATGGGCAAGGCCCTGGCTTCAATGTCAAAACCCCAAAAGAAGAAAAAAAAAAAAAAAAAGCTTAAGGTACACAGTACATGTGAGAACTCTCTAAACACAGGTTTACATTTTTGTTCTATATTGAAAAGGAGATGTAAATTGTTTGAAATACACACAATCTACATCTTCAAAAGGAATGATGATGTTAGTATGGAAATAATTAAATCAGGAGCAGGAGAAAATGCTCTTAAATTCTTCCTTCCTATCAATTCACTCAGTTCTGGCTTGTAACTTTATGATGGAGAATATCTTAAACATCTCCACAATAGGATTTTCACTTTCTGAAAACTTTCTCGATACTACAAAATAAATGTAATATTTAGACTTTACTCAGATTTGAAAAGCAAAGTAAAAAGAAATGGCTTGAGATATCAAAAAACCAAGTAAATAGGCAGAATGAAACATACTTAGCTAAGTTGCTAATAGTAAGTGTGACAAACTCACCTATTGTGAGAGCTATCACAATATTGATCAAGTATATGTACATAAATCACTAAATAGTATATTCCCAACCCCTTTTTAAGTAACAAGAAATTATGAGCAATTCAACTGGTTCCCTTGCCCAAATTAAAATCTCACTTTCATGGTTTTTTATTCTTTTTACAAATATTTACTGAGCACTCACTATGTATGTATGAGTTTGTACATACATAGTACAAAACTATTTTCTCACTAATAGTTTTTTTCACTTGCAAATGTTCCCAATTCTAATAAATCAGGGGTTGATAAACTTCCATAAAGAGCCTAACAGTTATTCTAGGGTGTAGGCCACTCTGGGTTGAGTATTTGACAGAAGTTCTCTTCTTGCTTATAGCTGTTAAGCAAGGTAAACAAAATGTAACTGTGTTAAAAAAAAATCTGGATTGGCCCTGGGGACATAGATTTTAAACACTGAGAATTAAATCAGATGTTAGACTTTGGTAATTTTTTTATCAATTAATTTTATTCAAAAGCAAACCTCAAGTTGACCTAAGGGCAAAAAGTACATTTTACCAGTTTGAGCAATAATTGATGTGTATTTTATGCATACTGCTAACTCAAAAAGCTTCTTCCCAGTAAGCTGATATCCCAGTTGTATATAAAATTCAATTCTTACCTGTCCCAAATTCTGTAACAACTACATTGATATTCAATGTCATAAGCAACCCAGAACGATAAAATTGGAAGACTTTTGTGGGTACAATTTGAGAAACACAACCATTTTTCAACTGAAAAATAAAGAGAAATATAGTGGAAAAGTTAGGGATTTAAGAGGGTTTTAAAAACTATGAAATTTTAGCAAAAGTATATAACCACCACCACCCCTGACTTTTGAAATAATTAAAGAAAAAAATTAAAAGAGGAGAAGGGAGGGGAGGGGAAAGATTATATCAGCATATCAAAAAAGATAAATTAGATAATCTTTATTTTACAGATTCAAAATAAATTCTCTTGAAAGCAGTGTCAAAGGGAAGAGATTAAAGGATGGAAATGAAGTTGAATAATATTTAAAAAGTAATATTTAATTACTTTTAATTAAAATTATCTTGAAAGGCACTAAAACAGGTAGAAAAGAATCATTCTTTAAAAGTGTACCATCAAAATAAACACTTCTTCAGATCAATTGTTCATTTAAAATAAAGAAAAATCTGTAGATAACCTTTGACCAGTAACATCAATAATTAAAAAGATTTTGTTTTATTTGAAAAAAAAATATTTACTAATTTAAATTTTAAAAAGAAGGACCTGTCAATTCATTTGGTCCTCAAAACTGTCATATGAGCCAGGAACTATTATTAAACCAATTGTAAGGATGAATAAACTGAAACACAAGTACATTATATAACCTACTCAAGGCCACAAAGTTAAAAGGTGTTGGAGCTAAACAAGTGTGTAGTTTGTAGAGTGTGTACTCCTCTAGACTAGGAACTATTTTATCAATGACATCAAAAACATTACTTCTACTTTGTCTAAATAATACAAATTAAAATGAAATAATTAAAAGTGGCCAAAAGAATCTTAATGGCTTTAAAATTAGGAGAAAAACATTTTCAGTAATCCTTCAAAGAGAAAAGTAAGGTAAACTAGTAAGAATCTAGATATTGGGGTAAAAGAAAAATGCTTTGCATCAAATAATGTTAAGCTGTGTGGCGAAAGAAAAATATAAAGCATTGAATATGTGTATTACTAAATGAAGCTTTGTATTTGTGGGCTCCACACCCATGGATTTAACCAATTATGGAAAAAATATTTGGAAAAAAAGTGTGCCTGCACTGAACACAAGCAGACTTTTTTAACTTGTCATTATTCCTTAATAATACAGTATAACAACTATTGAAATCACATGTACATTTGTACATAGCATAAGTACTCTAGAGAGGTTTAAAGTATACTGGAGGATGTGCTAGACTATATGCAAATCTACACCCTTTTATAGAAGGGCCCTGGATATCTGTAGATTTTCGTACATGGGGGTTGTGGATCCAACTTCCATTGATAGGGAGGGATGACTGTATATTTTAAGTTTCAACTAAAAATATTAGGAAAAAGAATTAATATGATAAAGGCTAATGATGATGAACCCAAAATAACATAAGATTATACTAAAAACCTGTACAATAGACAAACACAAGTGTCATTTAGAATGAAGAGGGAAAGCAAACATGTAAAATGAGCGCTATGAACTCAATATCCATCTGGGAGAAAACAAACTTCTTAAATTAAATATATAAAAAATTAATTTTGTGTTTACTGAAGAAATTAAAATACTCTTAAAGCATACTTAGGTAGTTACATGTACAACAGAAGGACAAATCAGACATTTTCTCCCTAATCCTGAAACCCATAAATGGTAAGAACCTTGGGATGTCAAAAATAGCATAATTTCAAAGTCAATGCTCTGACTTAATTAAATATCCTGGAAAAATTTGATTAGAGGATAGAGAATAATGTTTATAATGAAAGAAAGTTTTAGTTTTATATTAATAGGGAAAACAGAGCCAATTAAGAGTTCTCAAAAGACCAAATCTAAATTAATAACAAAAATATGAAAAGATGCTCAAATTAGCTAGTAATTAGATAACACATGTTAAAACAAAACAAATTTGTCTGCCAAAATGATAAGCAATTGAAGTCTTAAATATATAGCTAGAAATAACTTTGGAAATATAATCCCATGTTTTGCTGACAAGAATTTGAATGCCTAAAATTTATGATAGCAATATGCTAATATTTCTTAAAATAATCTTTATGTTTATAGTGATCTATAGTTCCCTAGATTCAGGAAACTCACTCCAAGGAATGTTTGAAATAAATAAAACTTCTCACATAGAGATTGTTGCATCAGATTTTTTTTAATGCTATGTTTTTCATATAGGGAAAGAAAAAACATTAGCTGAATGAACACCTTTCACTAGGTAAAATGGTTGACTGCATTACATCACAACCTCAGTGGAACGATGTGCAACTGATGTGGAAGAAATTCATTTAACACTTCTTAGCCTGCATTTCCTATACAAAGTTAGGGGTTCTTTTTGCCTGTATAAGCAATTATTGATATTTACCTAGAGGGTGATCATCAAATTTGAGGAGTTAACTTCAGGATAATCCGATATATACTATGGGGTATATGCAAATTTCACTATGGGAATTCCAAAGTCAATTTTCACTAAAAGAAATGGGTGGAGTCATTATCTTAAAGTTATGATGTTATAGATGAAGAAAGCAACTATGGGCTTGACGTATGAATCTCAGGGTGTGGCGACATATTAAGGCCCCAGATTCAATTGCCAGCATCATACACACAAAACTGCAAATCTAAATCAATAGATGTCTATGATCTGAATTGCAGATGTTTGAAGATAAGCTATATTAAAAGGACAAGTCTAGGCTGCATACTGAAAAATAATGCAGATTAGTTTATTTAAAGATTGGGGAGGCCACTTAGTATATAATATGAAGAACGCAAAAAAATCTTTTTCAAAGTTTAAAAATCCTAAAAACTGATAAATAAATAACAATATACATTGCCTAGAGAGTAAGAAACTTTTAGACATTGTATTTTCTCCTTATTTTTTACCCTTGGTAATTGAGTCCTTCATTTTACACAAAATGAAAATGGTGTTAAGTCCTTTTTATAAATGAAATTTAAAAAATAGCCAAAAATTAGATTTTTTTAGTATTATAGTACCTGTGCTATAAATTGCTCACATATTTCATTGTTTTCATTCTCACAACTTGTAGAAGAAAAAAATTTTCTGCATATGCGGATTTGGGCTTTTCCTTGCACAGACTGGCCATAAGTGTACCTAGTGGGAAAAGGTGCACTTGTGATTACAGATGAAAGACATGAGAGCAGTATTTTCTGAACTCCTTCAACAATTATACATGAAATCTCTGAACTATGAAGACTTGACTCTAACCCACTTCAATTACAAATCCTCACCTATTGGCACTGTCTTCCTCGCAGAATTGGTCAATTGATTTATTAGGAGGATGTGGCTGCTTTTTAAAAAATCAAATTCAGTAACATAGTATCTGAAATAATCTAAAATCTCAGCAAATAAAATTTAATGATTAATTTTTTAAAAATAATTTTTAATCTGATAGAAGTATCAGAAAAAAATTAGTTGTGACTCTTTCTTTAGCAGAAAATATGTATTTAAGTAAGTAAATCTGGGATGATTCAGGTTCTTGAAGTATGTCCAGATCAACATTTTAAGTAACAATGCTCATTTTGCCACTCCAAAAATCAAAAAGTTTCTGGAACTGACATAAATTAAATATGTTTTGAATAAAAGTATAATACCTTCTGGAGTGATCATAATTATGATCATAATTTAAAGTAATGTAAGAAACAACCAATTTCATGTTAGTGTTTGGTTTAGAAAGTATTTTTGTACATAGCACATTGCATAAACATTTGGGTCTTCTGATTTGTGTGTTGCACTTTCTTAGCATAATACAAGCACAACACAAATTATCTCATTTTCTCCTAAAACTATAATGCAAATTTTTGAAAAATTTCAACCAGTGGGCTTGGGTTGTGGCACAGTGGTAGAGCACTTGCCTAGCATGTGTGAGGTACTAGGTTCAGTTCTCAGACCACATATAAATACATAAAGATTCATTGACAACAACAACAACAAAAATTTTAACCAAACACAAAGCTAGTCAATATCAGTGTTTATTTTTTTTTAACTTAAGGATTCTTTCCACTTACATTTAGAAAAATAGAGAACAAATACATAGGAGATAATCAATCTTAATATTAGGAATTTTATAGATTTCAATATTTTGCTTTTATGACTGTTGGACTTTGATCTATACCAGATCTTTATGATTTTTCCAGTGTCCTTGATTAGTAAACTGAGATTTGCTAACTTCCCCATGTTGTGATTGAAAGAATGAAAACTCAAACTCAAATCTGTTTCACTCCATGGTCTGTTCTCCTGTCATTCCGCTAACTTATTTCTCTTTTTTTATAAAAATACTTTATGCTTTTGATATCTTGATTCAAGTTAAATTACTATGATCATTTGTTAGTTCTAATTATCAACCACATGTAAAATAGAAGTTGAATTAAGATTGGGCCAAAAATGTTAGGTCTCATTAATGCATGTAAGATGTAAGAATTATTAGACAAATATCTTATTATTTCTTCTATCTTTTATTTATAAAATAAAATTCTTACCATACAACTATTTACAGACTAAGGTTTGTCCCTGGAACATGTAGTTTACTTCTTCATGCAGCACAGAGTAGGAAAGCCCTTTATGATTTGAAAAGCTTTTGATGGTGCTAATGGAATTTATTAAAAAATCTCTTGTATGTAATTTTGTATAAACCTGAGGGTCTCGTTCCATTTCCATGCTATTTCCCTTCTCTCTCCCTTTCCCTCCCACCTCTCAACCCTGTTTAATGATGGTCTTCTTCTTGTGCTCTTCTTCCCTAGTCTGTTCTTAATTACTCTCCTTATATCAAAGAAGACATTTGGCATTTGTTTTTTAGGGAATCAAACTGTGAAATATGATGTATTAAGAACTGTGTAAGGTTTTGAACGACCAACAATAAAAATAAATAAATTAATTTAAAAAAATCTCTTTATCTGTAGGTATATTTTCTTCACTCTTAAAAGCCTAATTCATTTCTGAGATTGTTTGCTAAAATAATCTAATTTTGGTGTTGTTTTCCTTAGCCATTCCAACTAAATCTCTGGGCACAACTGGTACAGTACTATTCAACCCCCAAAAGGTAACTCCTTGATTGTGTTAATTGAGATCTGGACAGTGACTTCACGTCCTTCCATCAAAGCCTGCTCAGTAACATCTTCGCAGCAAGCACAGCTCCTATATAATTGCCTGGTCATGTGGCAGGAGATTATTATTGCTGATTACTGATATGCTATTTGATGTCAAATATATCTGGCATATAATGTTAAGTTTCAAGAAGTCAGAATAATGATCATAATTTAAAGTAATGTAAGAAACAATCAATTTCATGTTAGTGTTTGGCTTAGAAAGTTTTGCCTAAACATTTTGGGTCTCCTGATTTGTGGGGCTGTACTTTCTTAGCATAATACAAGGTATTTGAATACATTAGAAATGCGAAAGGCATTAAAATTTCTGGCTTCGTGTAGGATTTTCTAGCAAAACCAGTTTATGATCTTTGATTTCTTCATTCTTATGTTGATTATCTCATGATTTTTAACAGATAATATGTAATCTCACATATATTAATTCTGGCACACATTCGCATTAAAACTCAGAGAAATTTTATGATCATTTCCCTAGAATTCAAAGATTTTAAATACTACTTTAAAAAAGACTAAAAGTTTCCAAGATTCTGAAGAACTTCAAAAATTATCCTTACAGTTTACTCTACAGTTCTTTATATAATGTATCTTTAATACTGCCAAAATACTAAAAAATAGTAATTTTATGTCAGCCATAAATTATTTCACAGATATGGCAAATATTGATATTTTAAATGTTTACATAAAGTATAATGGAATTATTAATAAAGAAGAAACTTTAAAGCCATAAAGCCCAGGTGTAAATCCTGGTTCTGTCATCAAAGTTATTTATTATATTACTTTAAATTATGATCATTATTCTGACTTCTTGAAACTTTACACTATATGCCATGCCAGATAGATTTGACATTAAGTAGTATATCAGTAATCAGAAATAATTTCCCAAGGAGAAAATAGAAATTTGGGTTTTTTGTATTAAGAGGATTCAAGTGAATTCAAATTAAACTATAAAATTCCTTAGTTCCACTAAGACAATTTCAATAGCTCATTTTCTGTTATAATTTTTATGTATTTTTTAAAGATACAATTAATAATATTTTATTGTATCTATGTTAGATTTTCTTTCCCCTCTTTTCATATTCATTTTATTTTTTATGAGAATATTCAGTGATTGTGAAGACTAAGTGAGGTAGGTACTTTTGTACCAGCTGCTAGAATTGTACCTTGGCACAATACTTTGGTGAGCAATAAAGCAATCAAAAGATTACAAGATTTTTATCTATTTTGTCTTGGTATTTCTCCTTTTGTAAATCTTTTCTAAGTAAACAATTGTTAATTCAAAGTTATTATACAGTATTATAGAATGGTACATGCTACAAAATTATTAATTACTAAAAAATTAAAATGGAACATCCCACATGTTAGATAATAAAATAATAATGGTTCAGTGAATTTGCTAAAGGTAACTGTGTAAAGATATGATAGAGAAAGGAATTAGAATAGTTTAAAAGGATGACATAATAAGGAAAACTATTTTCTTAAGTATTGTAGATAAGAAGGTAAGATTGCTGTCAAAGAAAACATTCCTAAAAGATTACAGGAAAACTAATCACAATGTTAATGACAATGAGTACAATTAATTATAGCTAATTTCTTACATTTTCCTTTATATTTTTTAAATATTCAAAAATACTCTTAAGAATTTTAATGTGAGCATATGAACAAATTTAATAGTTAAACTATTTTGTTATCTCTGAGCTTTCTGTTACCTGTGGGGACAAATCATAATAAATACTTACTTAGCACATGTGTCCACTTGAAATTCATCATCTGAAATAGTTATTGTTTGTGGAGCACTGACCTTAACTTCAAACTTGGGCAACACTGAAAACAAAGAGATATATATTTTCAGCTCCCATATGGCTGGAAGAAAAACTAATTTAAATCATGTAGATAACCATAGTGATGATGCATAAAAAATTTGATGGCATAATTTTTTCTGTTTTTACATTTGTTCTGACCATGTTTCAATTGCCCCTACTTGTATGTGAAACTAGTCCACCACAGTAAGTGATAGTGTCTCATTAAGGATTCAGTATCCCCCTCCCTTCTTTTTTCCTTTTTCCTGTTCTCATAACTTTACACCGTCTGGGATATGGCTCAGTTGGTAGAGTGCTTGCCTAGCATACACAAGTCCCTGGGTTCATTTGTTGTTGTTGAAATATATTAAATACATTCTAGAAAACTATCTGGATTCTAAAAAATAGATGTTTCCTAGGGGAAACAGATAAGTAGGGATCAGAATATGGAGTGAGGAGCAAGAAAGGATTGATGAGAGAACAGAAGATGATTGCAGAAAACCAAATCAAGCTTCACCTACATTCGCCTAAGTCTAATGTAAAATTTTACTCATTTATTTGAACTCATTTATATAAGAAAATAAAAACTAGAAATTGGTTACCATATTTATTAACAGTAAATTCATGCATCAGTGTATTTCCTGATTTTCCTTTTACAACAATTGTATAATCTCCAATAATTGGTTCTGAAATCAATTGGAATGACAGTTGGGTAACATTTCTGAAAGAGGTCACATTTTGCCATTGAAAAATCTTATTGTTTTGAGGATCCTAGGAAATAATAAATAAAGACAATCAGAAATCGCATATTTTTCTTTCCTTCTTTATTTTGGAAATTAAGAAAGTACTATCATTATATGGAACTAATTGTCTTAAATCATTAAAACAACATCACTTCAGTAATGTATTCTGAATGTACTAAAATTCAATCTATTTACTAATAGGAATAAGATATCAAATAAATTGAAGGCCACAGTACTCTAGACAAACTGGTAGAAGGAAACTGTTAATTATTTTCTAAAAGCAAAAAATCCACTTTATAATAATGTCACCTTCTCATATATTTCTATAGTTTAGGTATTTGTGTTTTCCATTTTCTTATAATAAGATATGAATTAATTAAGACTGAAAAGGGCTTGGCAACCAAAATCAGGCCCTTTCGAATATATATCTGCTTTAGAGTCTAATCTTTTATATTCCATAAAAACCAAGATATTGCATTTGCCCCACAGGCTAACATAAAAAGGAACAGACTTTAATTTAGATCTCAATCTGATGCCTTATGGAGTACATGCACATAAAGACTGTCTTCTCTTTATTTCAGTCATCTTGATTTCTAATTATAGAAACAAGAACAAGACATACATTATTTATATGAATAATTAAAATAATGGATACAAAAAGTAGTTCTCTTACCTGAAGTGTGATTAAAGGATACTGAAAGAGGTAAAAAACAGATTAATACTTTAATAGCACATTCCTTTTTGCCAAATACTGTACTATACATATGATCTCTTGTAGAATTAGCTCTTGATTCCCAGAGAACAAAATTTCTATAGATAAAAGTGCCAAACACACCCCAAATGTGAAATAGAACCTAAATCTCTCTGGGAAGTAGAAAGAAGTTTCATGCAACTTGTGTTTTTTTGTGTGTGTGTGTATGTGTGTGTGTGTGTGTGTGTGCATGTGTGTGCGCGCACACACATGCTTCTTTATTTGATGAAAAGAACTAAAAAATTGTAACTCAACTCCGTATAAATGAAAGTTTATATTTAAATATGAGGTTAGCACTGAAATTACACCTATCTTGTACTCTACTTTGGAACTTTATTTTCATGCATTTAGAAAGCTTCCTGAAGATGTGTTAGATAGCTATGGATTTGTTTAATATGTTAAAATGTTATTGCACCATTAGAAATGACTGAACTCACCAAATCCTCAATAGGTTTGAAGTGGGTATCCAATGTCACAATGCGAAATTTAACTAAAAGAAAAGCAAGGAACAAACTTTTTCAAATACATAAAGATATTAAATTGTCCTGCTATCACAGAATACCATATTCCCTTTTTTTCTCAGCTCCAATTTGATCGTTTCAGACTGAGTTTCACTGGGAAAGAAATCTCTTTTACTGCATTTGTCATTCTTTTCTTAATGGTGTTTTGCTGTGACCAAAACTGACACACTGGCTGCCACTACCAGCAGAGACTTTTACCCCAAGAGCCACAGGAACACTTAAAGACTTGGTGGCAGAAATAGTCATAGAAGGAATAATATGCCAAATGTATGATGAGAGAGAGAACGCAATACTCCTAAAAATTAAATTGATACTAGATAATAGTTGAAAAGAAAAATTTTGATCCTTTTTGTATACAGAATATAGAAGCTATCATCATAATACTTAGTAAATTCAGAAGAGAGGGTATAATGCAGCAAAAAAATCTCAGTATAAAAATTCTGTATTTAGTTCATTTACTTCTTTTCAATAAACCATAGCAACATATAATATTCATCAGGACCAAATGTAAAGATGCTTTAAGTCAACTTTAAATTTAAAAATGAGAAAACTAAGTTCCAAAGATGAAAACTTACTTGACAAAACCCAATATACTTTTTTTAACCAAGCCAAAATCAGTCCCTTTGGAACACTAGTTTTGCATCCTTCTGCCACCTTCTTCTTATTATACTAATAAAAAAAATACAGGGTTCTGCCAAGGTTATCATCTAGTTACACTAATGATAATCAGTAATAATAGTGAAAATAATAAATATCACTTATGAGATCTCTTTCATGTGCTAGGCACTCTTTAATATTGGCACTTTTAATATTCATTCTCACAATATTCTTGGGATAAATTTTCATTTTCTCTACATAGGATATAATTTAACCTTAATAAGAGGGTTAATCAGACACTAGTATGGCAGTATGTATAAACATGGCTGTATAATCAATGTGATCCTGCAATCTGTACACGTGGGAATAATAAGAATTCATACCCCATTTGAAACAAATGTATGATATAGGATATGTCAAGATTAATGTAATGTTTTGAGAAACTAATAAATTTCTGATGTTTAAAAAAAATAAGAGGGTTAATTAACTTGCCCAATTGGCAGACTATGGAGCAATGATTCAAATCAATTATACTCCCCATTCCATGCTTGAACCTTAAACCTTTATGTCACTAGAGTTTATACACAGGGAAGGGGAAGATGGGTAAATTTTACAAATCAAAATATTCAGTGACTTGTGTTAAAGGGTACTATCCCATACTTTACCTAGATCATCAATAAGATTTTTTAAAATTTATGATCCAATGATATTGAGTATAACATAACTAAATCTTACATGTTTGGATTGCTTTTAATTTGAAGAATGCATTTCTAAAGTCAATGATACAAAGGAAAGGGGATTTTTGACTTACCATTCTCTCCAGGTTTATAGATGGGCTTATCTGTCTGCACAAAAGTTACTTTCTCCTCTGAACTGATTGCTACAGATCTTCTCTCAAAGATTGTAAGAGTATCTCCCTTAGCCAAGAGTGTCACAAAAGCAAACTGTTCAGAAGACTTCTGAGAGACCTGTTGATATAGGAAAGCAGAGAATTTGAAAATCATAAATAATGACTTAATTTGTTAGGCAGAGAGATCCTTGTGAACTCAAGGGTGGTGGAATGTGATGGACATCATTATACAAAATACATGTATGAAGAGTTGAATTGGGTGTCAACATTCTTTATATACAAATAGAGATACAAAATTTGTGGTATATATGTGTATTAAGAATTGTAATGCAAAAAAAAAGAAAGAATAGTGTTACCTTAGATTAGGTAGAGGGAAGTGAAAGGAAGGGAAGGCAGAGGATGTGGGGATTAGAAAGATAGTAGAATGAAACAGACATTATTACTTTATGTATGTATGTGACTGTACGACCAATGTGATTCTACAATATCACAAAAATATCTCAGGAAAGTGAGAAATTATATCCCATCTATTAATGATATACCAAAGTATATAAGTATATTCTTCTGTCATGTATAACTAATTAAAACAAATAAAAAATTTAAAAAAACAATTAATGATTGCTTGTTACAATTGCTTGATTTAGTATGAGGACACTTTCTAATAAACTGTGTTCGTATCTTCTTGCCTTCCATTTACTTTCTTTTGTTGCTGTTATCCTGAATTCAAACCTTTCTTTTTTCCCTAAATTTTCTTTCCTCACAATGTGAAACATTTTTACTATCTAAAGTGAGGTAGTTATCTCATTATCAATTCTTATGATAGAAGATTAACAACATTTCATTAGTCTTGCTGCATGTATAAATTTTCCTTTTATTCCTTGCCTCTCTGGAATTCCTAATTGTGCCCCCTAACTTTCACAACTCATCAAAAATCTAGTTTTGTTATTTAAAAATAATCTTTTAATAATAATTTAATGTCCTCATCTGCAGCTCTGAAATAGTAAATTCAGTGCCTCACCTTGAAATCTGCACAAGCATAGAAGGTGTCTTCTCCCACAGACAGGTCAAAAATTGTGGTATTAGATCCATCATATTCTAAGAAAACACTCAAGGATACAGATTCATTGAGGTTTAAAAGATGGAGGCAAGCTATTTCTGCAGAATAACTCTTTATCACAGAGGGGACCCATAGGATATATTGCCTATGCAAAGAAAATAACCAACATTATAAAAACAAGAGTATGAAAAATACATAACATCCACCAGAAGCTATTTTAGCTTATTAAAATATTCCTAAAATACACATTTATGATAGGTAGCATTACAACAAACTTTGGTAGATAAAGAGATGTTTTAAGATTAAGATGTTATGCTTGCTAAGCACTTATAGGAAAAAAAAACAGCACTCAGTTGCAGAAGTTGAAATGATAAAATACAATTAAATTTTATTTGGCCTTATTTTAACAAGGTCATATTTTTAGTAGTTTAGTATAAATAGTGTAGTATTCCCTTACAGTTTTGAAGCCACAGCAATAGTCCAATGAAGCAAAAAGGTGCTCAGCAAAATGGTAGGCACCATTCTAATCCCAATGCCTGAACAGCAACAACTTTAAAATAAACTTTCTCATTAGAAATCAGCTACTTCAACTCTGTCTTCCTTCGGTTCTGCCTTTTTGTATCATTGCTTTTATAGTCATGCACAATGAAAGATCAATTTCTTTTTGGAGCAAATGTCAGGGGACCCACCTGTCACATTTAAATCAAATCTCCTATTTCTTCTCCAGGGGGTGTCACTTTACATAAAGTTCATGCTTAAGTTCACTGAATAATGCTCTGGTTTTAGAATCAGCAGCACAAGTTGGACAGGAAGAAAGAGGAAAAACAAAGAAACTAGTTGTGTGACACTTTGGACACATTTCCAAACTTCACTCACAGGACTACCCGCAGTTATCAAAACACTGCTATACCAGGGTAGCACTTGGAAGAAATTGCTTCTCCAAAGAATTATCATACCAATTCCCAAAAGATAAATTTTTCAGACTTATGAGAGAAGGGGCATTTATGATATTGCCAAAATATGATGCAAACAGATCTCCTTATAAGCTGATTTTATATATAATTGAAATTGTTAAGTGATTCTTTTATAATTTCAGAATGCAGAATTCAACATTTAAAATGTTGATATGCATTCAACATTTAATATAATTTTCTTGATGAGGTTTAATTTACCCATGTTCAGTATCTTCTCCCAACATTTAAATAGAATAACACACACACACACACATACACACACCACTTCTTGGCAAACAACAATACCATAATCTTAATTGAAAAACATCTCATTTCTATAAAGCAAACAAGCCATGACAAAGAAACTGGAAAACTCTTGACAGTCTGCAGTGTGTTACATAATAGCTGAGGACTTATAAGGCAAGTGGTAAAATACATGCAACTACAAGATTTAAAGCGCGTGAGATCGGGGCCTCCTTGTTGACCACATATTTTTACCAAGACAGAATAGTGTTCATGAAAATTCTGAATGTTGCTCTCAGTAGAGCTGAGATATTACTTCTTTACTCATTCCCATCTAGGACTTCTGTCTCTGTGTGCCTTCTCTCCAACCCTGCATAGAAAGCCAACTCTCTTCAAATTTGCTAGAAAAGCTAATTTTCTACTGTTGGCCTTCCCTGATAATTTTAAGGTGTAAGTTCATTCCAATGGAATCTCAAACTGATTTTGACTGATACCCTTTCCTCTGACAGCCTATTAGGCTTATGATTAGAATGACTCTTCATACTAAATTAAGTTACTAGCTTCCAAAATAATTGAAACACACCAGTTTTCATTCTCCAGCACCTAAGACACCACAAGGCAGATTGTGTATAGAGTAACCAAATATTTATACGCAAGGCCAATAATCTAAAGTAGTGAAACTTGTATATTTCCAAATACAAAGCTTTTATGCTGAATAAATGACCCTAATTTTCTTGCTTTTATCCAGACAATTCAGTGTTATCAAAAGTATATGTTGTACACTATTTTTAAAAATTGTCCTGAGAACCAACATGCTTTCTTGGTAGCTCTCTCTCCATGAATGTGATATACCAAAATAATTTCATGTGATCAGCTTAGTCTTCTGGCTAATGGGCTCTGATCCCAGAAAATTTATATGTGAACCCAATATACCTATTGAGAACTTGTATGTGTCCAGGTTGGTGCTAGGTTCCTAAAGATAACAAGATGAATAAGACAAAATGAAGGATCTTACCTTCTATTAGAGAAGGGAAGAAAGGAAGACAAGGAGGAAGAAAGAAAGATAAAAAGAAAGCAAGAAGAGGACAGAGGTAGCATAGGTGATGGTAAGAAAAGAAGGAGAGGCAGGAGGATGTTAGGAAATACAAGAGAGTAAAGTCAGCAGCTGAACATAAATATGCAGCAGGCGCTGGGCCTGGTGCTGGAACTTACATGCAATCCTCAGAAAACACAAATGTGTTTCTGGAGTTCACTCAGAGCTATTAATCCTCGTAAGATCACCTGGAGAGTAGGTGGCAAGAAAGACTACTGTAATAAAGAGATCTTGATGTCTCCACATTTATGAGTAAAAAAGGGCGTGCTCACTGCCCCACCACTACTTAGCATAGGGTAGATGTTCCTGTCCTGAAAGAACCTCTTCTAGCTTCTCAAGTCTGGCTGCACATTAAAAATCCCTATGTTAAGTCTACACCTCAGAACAAAGAAAAGTCTTTAGAGGTGGGAGCCTCGCATCAGCATTTGGTAAACCTGCCAGATGATTTCAATGTGCAACAAAGTGAGGCCCAGATGCCAGAAGTCTCCTTCAGCTGTGTGCCACTGTCTTACTGTTCTCATGCACACTTGTAAATAAAAGGCCAATGTTCACTCTAGTAACTTTAAATTAGTAAAATAATCCTAGAAATAAGGGAAAAAGATAATTTTCTTCTTTCCTTCTAACCACTTACATAGAAAGCAGAGGTCCTTGGGCTGATGAGAATTAAAAGCTATTTGATACCATAATTGACTACAGAGGTCCTCGCCAGCACGTGGAGGGTAACTGTTGATTTAATCAGACTCAGAGAAGTAATAATACACAATCCTAAAGTTGACTTTAAATATCTCTGACAATTAAATTGGGTGATATTCCATGCAGAATCATTTGTTTCCTTGTATTTCTCCAAGTTTGAAACACAAGAATAAAGAACTTGACAACATCTTGGAACATTATGGGTTAAAAGCCCATCCTTGTGGTTACTGCCCATTGTTTCCCAATTTTACTTGAATATATGAATTTCAATACTCTCTTCTGTATTTTCTTTCTCTCCTAAGACATTTCAAGTCAACTCCACTTGATCACATTCCCCCTGAGGATGAGTCAAAGTATTTTCTATAATAAAATTTATTTTTATTATTTTTTTAAAGAGAGAGTGAGAGAGGAGAGAGAGAGAGAATTCTTTTTTAATATTTATTTTTCAGTTATCAGCGGACACAACATCTTTGTTGGTATGTGGTGCTGAGGATCGAACCCGGGCCGCACGCATGCCAGAAGAGCGCGCTACCGCTTGAGCCACATCCCCAGCCCCCAATATACTTTATTTTTAAAGCACATTTTTAAAAAAAATATTCTTGTAGTTTTTGATAGACCTTTATTTATTTATATTCAGTGCTAAGATCAATCCCAGTGCCTCACACGTGCCAGGCAAGTGCGCTACCACTGAGCCCCAGCCTCAGCACTTTCTTTCAACACTATTTCACTTTACTTCTTGTTTTCATGTTTTCTGAGCAGAAGTCCATTGTAATTCTCATCATAGTTCCTACATATTTAAGTTATTAGTTTATTTCTGCTTTCTTTCAAGATTTCCTCTAATTACGTTTAGTTTTTCAGCAGCCTGAAAGGGATACTCGATTGGGGCAGGGATTCATCCTGCTTGGTGAGCCTGAGCTTTGAGTGCTCAGGGTTTCATTTCTTTTTATTGATTTTGGAAAATCTCAACCATTATTACCACAAATGTTTCTTCTGATAATTATTTTACCCACAATTATGTTTATATTGTAATTTCTCAACTCATTATACAATATTATATCTATTATGCCATATTTTTCCCTTCCCTCATTTCTTTGTACCTCTGTTGGCAAAGTTACTTTTAACACATCTCCAGGCTCTGATTATTTCATTGGCTGTGTTCAGTGTACTGATAAGTCCATCAAGGCTGCTATTTATAGCCATTACGAGGTTTTTTATTTTTAACACCTTTGATTCTATAAGTTTCCATCCTTCCTATGACACTCATTTGGTCTTATCTATTTTCCATTAGCTCTTATATATTAGTCATAATTGTTTGATATTCCCAGTCTCTGTATGTTTTTAAGTCTGTGTCCCGACTCTTATTCTAGGTGATGATGGAAGTAAAGGGACTTCTCTATCACACTCCATAAAATACAAGAGATGGAAAGGAACAAAGAATAAACACAAAAACTGAAAGAAGAGTATCTTATCAATAACAAGCTTGAAAATAAATAGCAAAGGAATGAATCAACAGAGTCGAGAAAAATTGTTATGAATTATTCCTCTGGCAAGTGACTAATATATTAAACATATGAGGAACTCAAACACCAGCAAAAAATGTAATCTGAATTAAAAATAGGAAAATGATTTAAATAAATAGAAGTGAATAGCCATTTCTCAAAAGAAAATATACAAATGGCAAACAAGTATATGAAAAATGCCAAAAATCACTAATTGGTATGGAAATGCAAATCAAAACCATGCCAAGATATCACTCCTTGAAGAGAGTGGTATTAAATAAATCAATGAGCAGATTAAAATATGTTGTTTGCCTTGTGAAGGTCTTGTAACTTGTGCAAAGAAGTTTGAATGTTATAGCAAAGAGCAGTAAGTATATTAAGGCTTCTATTTTATGATAAATAAAAAAGAGTAAGAATAGGGTAATGGTAAGAAAGACATATAAAGCTTTGCTCAAACTCTGAACAATGGCAATAGCTGAAGAGAGATTTTTTTCACTCCAATTCTTAGAACTTGAGGCTGTTTTGATAGGGGATTGAACAGGAGAGAGAGGAGGGAACTAAACACTAAAGATGAATGCTTTTGCACTTAAAGACAAAATAAGCATAGGTGAAGGGAGGATTTAACTTTGGTATATATTAAGTAGAATGAAACTGCAGTTCCACAGAGGTGATTTCAGTTAATGGAAATAATTTGGTGCTCTGGAAAAATGGATATGGAATTGGGAGTCATTATAGTACAGGAATGAGATTATTATCATGGACTTTGATACACGGGGAAACCATTTACAAAAGGGAAGAAGGTCAGTGGTAGAAAAAGACTGGTGATGATATGTCTTGTGTGGTGGTGCATGCCTGTAATCCCAGTGGTTCTCGAGGCTGAGGCAGGAGAATCATGAGTTCAAAGACAGCCTCAGCAAAATAGTGAGGCACTTAGCAACTCAGTGAGACCCTGTCTCTAAATAAAATTAAACAAAGGCTGGGGATGTGGCTCAGTGGTTAAGTACCTCTGAGTTCAATCCTCACTACCAAAAAAAATCATAAAACATATGTTTCTATCTGTTTATTTCTCTAATTCCATTTAACTAAATTTGAGGTGATGCCTTAAAAG